CAGCCGTATCGGTGACTGTGTGGTGCTCTGTGTTTGTCCAGTCCCTTGCACAAAGGCATTCCTTTCTGTGACTAATCTTCCCAGGAATTAGGGTGATGCAAGTAATAACTAATTAGTATATTTTACTACACTCGCACTGAGAAACTCAGTCAGGTTTGAGGGCCGGTTGTCTGGCAGTGCTGTGGAGGACCTTCTTTAGCTTTTGCCTCCTCTGCTCATTGCTGTTACATCACGCTGGCTTTCTGTGAATCTCGGAGAACTACAAACCCTCAGGTTGTTTGACCTTTTTCTTATTTTCCTTGACTGACCTCCTGGGCCTAGGAAAAATGTGATATCATCAGGGTGCTGCAGTTTGGAATTATGCCCCCTGTGGTAGTCCAAAAGTACAATTGTCATAAAATGTGTACAAATGAGGGAAACAAGGGATGCTAATGTGAGGTATTTACTGTTCTCAGTAGTGCATGACTTGTGCGATGTGGGCTGGTGTGGAGGGTGGGGAGGAGAGTCTCTATAAATTGAATGAAAAGCTTGTTCTATTGTTTTGATTTGGAAGCCACATCGCCTTCCTTTCTTGCAGCCTTAATTTTTCAATTGCTTATTGTCAAAAGCCTAGTTTCAAGCTCTCCATTTAACATGTTTCTCCATTTAAATCTCTGTGGGTTTCTTTTCCAAGAACTTACTGCCATTGTTGATAATAAGCTTACCAAGCTCCATCATTGAGCTATGGCCAGATAACTGTACAAAAGGTGTCATACCAGCGCTTCTTAGGTATAAGTGCATTTTTTTTTTTAAAAAAACAGGCTGGTAAGTTGGGGGCTGATGGCTGTATTGGGCTGTGTCTCCATCTCAGGCAGCAGTGAGACACAGAAGCCACAGGAGCCATGGAGGCCCCATTTCTATAGCCACTGACCAGGGAGCGAAGCAGAGGTGAGGCACCCGTGCCACTTTTCGTGGACATCCTTTCCCCCCACTCCATCCAAATCCTCGAATCCGCCCAGACTGACTCATCGGGGGGATGATGTCAGGGGAGGCAGTGGCTGCTGAGTATTTCACCGGGAACCGTGTGTGTCCCATTGCCAGTGGCCGAGAGCTGTGAGGGGCTGCAGGGAGGAAAATTTTCTCGAGGAAATCCTGGTTTCCAGGCCAGTGCCACGGAGGCGGGGCTCGGGGTCACGTCCCAGGCACGCAGTGGCCGTGGCGGAGGTGAGGTAAGTGTTTCCCGTGGGACAGGGAGACGTGGGGACTCGTTGCCTTTCAGTCCTCTCCATGACGCAGAGCGGTGTTGGCTACCTGGCGTGTTAGGTGGTTGTAACTGATAAGACACGGCAGAAGTACTGCTATCTGCATTGGACTGATTCAGCTCATAGTCAAGTCAAAAAGTGTTTTACCTCTGATTTCAGTAGGAGAAGGCACAAGGCAACGCTGACTGCTTTTCAAAGCTGCCCGGTGAAAGCCGACTGTCTGGTATGCTGTGCTGCAGGCATACGTATTTGTGAATCCTACTGTTGTTTTGCTTTCTGGAGGAAGTGTTCACATTTTCCAGGGCTTCAGCTTGAATTTAGATTTTACTGCATGGTTTTATGAATCATAGTTATGGATTTTGAGTAACTGTGTTGTCATGCAGTTATTGATAGACGTGGAGTCATGGAGTTTTGCAGTAATGTCAGCTTAAAAACAGAAACTTCAGAAGCAGTGGGTCTAATTGTGTTTCCTTTGACATCACTGCGAGTAGGAAAGGGCACTGACTGTCTCACTGGTGGAGAGAAATATTTTATTAAAGAGGTGGCAAGCGCTTATGCTTCCTTGGTCGAACAGCAAAATGTGTCTAGCTCAGTCCTTCAGTCTCAGGATAGTATTGTTTTCTCTAGTATTTTTGTGTTTTTAATATGGTTGTACATTGCAGCTATATCTCTGTTTATGGATCAACCCTCTTGAGGATTTCTAAGGATCATGTAAATTAGCTGCTCCATTTGGTGCCCTAGAGATGGAGTTTTCCAAGCTTTTTATGTTTAGAAATTTATTTTATTTATTTATTTTTCTTACTGGTACAGATTGCTAGAAGCAGGAGTCATTTATGGATCTGATGCAAAAGTCAGGTCTAAGCAGCCAGCATGTAACTCTGTCTTTTCAGAATATATTGAGCATCTCACTGGCATTTAACTAGGTGTATGTGCTTTAAAGCACTGCTAGGCACATCTGTTGTTTTGATTTGAATCTGTTTGGCCGCTCTAACTTTGATATAAGAATGTCTTGACAACATTCCAATGCAAGCTGATACTAAACAAATTAAACACGGTTAATGAAAAGGCACTCATGAGCAAGTAAGTAATAATAAAAAAAACCCTACAAAATAATATTTCTAAAAAATGGGAAGAGTAACGCTCTCCAAGGTGCTTTGAGGATGAATATAGTAAAGAAGGGAAGAGCTCTTTTACATGCTAATAGAGTGTTATAGATCCTGTGATAGAATCAGGAGGAAGAGTTGAGGAAGAAACTGTAGAGAAATTATTTAACTTGTTTCTGCTTTCCTCAAAAAGAATAAAGGCCATTTTGTGGATAATTTCAGGTATTTCAGTTCAAAATACAGCTTACTAATATGAGAAAAGAAATTATGGTCCTTGAAGAAATTATGGCTATTTCTTGAAGTGTAAGAAACAAGCAGTAGTCAGTGTTAAAAACGAGGCAAAGATAACAGAGATCACTGTTACTCATTGTAATATATAAAATTATCGGAAAAGAATAGCAAGGAGACCAACCTGTTAACAGCAGAAGCTGCATATTGATGTGGATTTTCTAGGGCTGGTAGGTCTGTAGAGAAATATTCTTCTGTTGATTAAACTAGAGTGCTTTTATTGAGTAAGGCTAATGCATTTGTCATGTATAATCTCTTCTTGATGATGTTTGCACTTTCCAATGTAGTAAAAATTACAGGGAGGAGTTACAGGGAAGAAGGATTTTTACTTGTAGCCACTTTGTACTGCCATGGCACATAGCCTTGCCAGCAAAATAACTGCCTTTGTTTATACGTCCTTTTCTAAGGAGCTAGTCACCTGTGTTACGGCAAGGAACATTCTGCTTTTCAAACAAACCCTGGGAATTGAAGAACATTCAGCTCTGCCTGTCCTTGGTTGAATTGCAAAGAGTGATTTATGCTTCAGCCAGGCATGAAAATAAATGATATAGCTTTTAATTTGTGTACTTTCTGATTTTTATTCCCATAATATAAAAATATGACAATGAAAAAGTGTATTTAGAATAAATCTCTATCATTATCATTTAAAGGCGGCCAGAGCATCTCTCTCTCAATAATGTCAATAGGGATTTTGCTATTGTCTTTGAAGATAGTATGGTTAGGCCTTTCATTATCAGTGAGAGCAAACTGTAGTGTACATGTGGCAGTTTGTTCATGTATGTATATACAGACACTTTAGACACTTTAGACACAAAAGATGGCTTTTCCTCTAATCAGGGGAATTGCTGTGAAAGCAACTTTGTTTAAGGGTTTTGTTTTGCTTTGTTTTTGGCAGATCAGAGAGGGAGAGAATGGAGACACGGTAGAGTCGTAGAAAGCCAAGGGTTAATCATGAAGGTTTTACACAAACTTCAATCATGAGTTAACTAGTCATAATCCCATTGGCTTCAATGCGGAAAAATGTCATGTAGCAAAGATGAAGGTTACGGTTCAATGTTTTACTGAAGCGAGATCATAATAAAACCTTAAAGAATACACAGATGTAGCCATAACGTAAGTGGAACTTCAGTTTTATTTGTGTTAGCTTAATTTGTTTGTCTGAACAAGTTAATTAGGCACTGAATCCATGATTGAGCAAACTGCTTAAGCATGTGCTTAATATTAAACATATGAGCCTAGTGATGAAAGCTGAGCATGTGCTATTCAGCTGAGTTAGGGCTGAAATTACCCCATCTGTGCACTATCTGAGCCCAGTGATTTACATGGACAAGTACAGCTTTTGTCCACAAATCTTACGTATCTCAGAAAATGTTTAGATATAGTCTGGATTCTGCCTTGGGACAGGTCCTGGGCATCTCTCAAATGGTTTACTAGTCTTCTAAGATTTTAATAACAGGAAAACATAACTGAGAAAAATGTTTCCGAGAAAAATATCTCCAAGAAAAATCAGAGTTGCAAAAGTATTGGCATAATCTGAGAGCTATCTTTGAAAATTTGTCATGGTATTACTACATTTAAATTCTGGTATACCTACAGGTTTACAATGAGCATACACTTTTGCAGTGACGGCGGTTAGGTTTGTGAATACTGCTGTGCTGTGCTTTGTTGCAATACTTTTCTGCAGTGAAGTGCTGCAGAGCTTCGTAGACCATAGAAACTTCACTATGGTTTTGTGTTTCCCTCTGCATTTTGTTGCATTTACATCCTTTAGTATGTGACCTGGCATCTCTTTCCTACATCTGCATATCGCTCGTCTGCTGTGTTTGCTTTTCAGCACCATTTTAATTAATGGACTGAGGAGATGGCAGAAGAGGAGAGGTAGCAATGTTCATCCTAAAGACAATTGCCTATCAGAGGCTCTTTTCACTCCTTGCTACTGCCTTTCACGTGCCCAGCATTCACTTGATTTCATGGCTGGTTTAGCTAATAGGAAGGCAGCCGGCCTTATTGTAAACTTCAGGTTGTGAAGATGCAGCTTTTCTCCTTATTGGCACTCAAAGTCATTGCTTAGCTTTGTCCTCTCTCCCTGAGTGGCCACATAGCACTCCTACTTTGTTGCTTATGATCAGAGATGTCACCAAGTTAAATGCTGTGCAGTCCTCTCCCTTATGTATTATTTACTCCAGTGTCAACTGTTTTTGTTGATGTATTTTTTCAAACAGGCTTAATGCACAATGGATTACTTTCTGACTTTGGATTGATACCAGTCCTAGCTGTGGATTGGTAAAAACACACTTTGGTTTTATTAACTGCCTAACAATGAATGGGAGGTCATGCAGTATGAGCCACCGGACAACAGGTATTCCTTGCGGACCTGGGACGATCAGTGGACAGCAGATCTCGCCGGTGAGAGTTCATGCAGGAGCGCCCTGCCCATCTTCACATAGCGGTGCCCTAAGCCCGGCTATTGGAAACTTGTCTGCCAGCCAACACTTAAAGATGCCCCTTGGAGGAGGGGTAGCTCCTCAGAGCAACGTCACTGACAGCACTATTCACCTTCCTGCGCTAAGTCCCAGGAGACAGGTGGTCACAAACGGGAAGCCTTTCTTCCAAGTCCCACAGCCCCCAGGACTGCCAGCCCCACAATCTTTAAAGCCAAAACAGCAAGAGTTTGGAAATACTTTCTCCCCATGCACAGGTAAAGGTAAGACTCCTTTTTCTATTGCTGTTAGCCACGGCATTTCTTTTCCAACATCATGTAACTACATGGTATTGGCTTTTCTGGATGCCATCCAGTCTCTTCTTTGCCACTCTTATTACTACAAAAGAGGAGATGCTGAAACAAATGTTCTGTTGTTTCCCACTGTTGTAATTTATTATCTGATAGTTCCCAGGGGCTTTGTGACATAGAAAAGTTGCTCAGAATCACTGAGTTGTCCCGAGATTCCTTATAAACAATGCAGTCTGCCTTTGCTTTGCTAAACCAACATCTCAACATCTCAATTCAGCAAATCCAGATAATCATTTTGTGTTCAGTGGAGTCAAAATTTTGTGAGTGCAGTTGGAAATACTCCTTCCTGGATATGAACACAGCTTCCCATTGGTGGCTAACAGCTGCTTGTTGATGGAAGCAGCAATGCACTTACAGTTTTTAAAGTGCTTAGGCTGGACAAGCTGTAAAACGCATGGAGCATGTCTTAACCATAGTATTGCAATCCATATTTGGGAACTATTGTGTGTCAGAGAAAAGTATGATGCACAACTCTCACAAGCTTTGGAGGCTAGTCCTGTGTGAGTCAGTTCTTGTACATCAGAGACTTACCTGTCCATCAGAGATTACTTAACTGTCTGCTCTTGAGTCTGCAAGGTCAGACCAGAAGAGTAAGTTTCCAGTTCTTGTTGACTCTGGTCATGCTGGAAATGAATGGGAACACTGTTTCTGAAGAATTTTGGTAGCTTCCTTTCACAACTCAGTGTTTGTGACGTGAGGATTTAATGGATAAAAATAATTAAAAGTTTTAAAATTCCAAGAAAAGCTTTGGTTGGCATCTCAGTGAAAGCGCAAGAAAGAAGACATAGTTTTCCTGTTTTATTCCAAGTGGATTGCTTCTCACCATTTTCCTCTCTTTCTTCAATGCTTCACTTTGAACATTTAATAAGTCCATCCCTATTCAGCGACGCGCTCAGGCTTGACACCAGTAGTGTTTTAGAACATGTTGAAAATTAACTGCATGCTCGAGTGCTTTGCTGAGTCAGGCCTGCAGTAATGCATACACATATTCATTGGGTGACCTCTATGATCACCCATTCTGGTGCTTGCTTTGGTCGTGCTGGTGGGGGTTATTCACAGTATCTAACTTTAAACTTCCACTATTGCCGGTGAAGAGAGGCGAACTCTTCACATGATGAGCTTTGAAGGAACTTTTCTCTCTTTTTCACTACAAGGAGAACCTGATTCCTATTCTTAGCAAAATTATGTGTCTAAAAACAGGGAATCCATGCTGGGATATCTAAAACAGCCTTATATAATAGCTGGTCCACCTGCAATATATGTGGAGAGTGGCACTACAGGATGAAGAGAACATCAGCTAATTTATAATCCTGGACATAAATTGGATTTGATAGGCAGTTCATGACTATGCTATTCCTGGCTGTCACCATTTCCATCTTCCTCCTTGGACTGCTCAGCTCTAGCATGCATAAAGTGGTCTGCTGTTTTGTGAGACAGAGAATAGATACCTCAGCTGAAGGGCTGACATTAGGGAAGCTTTTGTATAAACAGTGCTGGTTAAACATTTTGGGCCTGGATAACCGAAGAAGAGGCAGATGGTGAGGTTTACAGAGTGACAACTGGAAAAGAAACACAGAGGAGAATATAAGGGGAGAGGAAGAGTGTGGGGGATGCTAGCAGATACACATACATACCTTTCTCAAAGCCTGCTTCAGATATTTGTTTTATAATGAGGCAATATGGGATGGTAGCAAATGTCCGTGAACCATTTGGCTGCACCTTCTTGTCCACCCTACCTCTTCTCAGTGACTTCTCCTTCATCGAACAGAAGTTCCAGTATTCACTTGGGAAACTCATATTATCCTGTGAACAAAAGTGGTGTTTGTTGATTTTTTACAATTTGCAGGTTAGCAGAAAGTCTAAAGACATGCAAAAAGATAGTTACCATGGAAGAAGATACCACGGTCATCAGACACTGTGAATTAGATTTGATCTTTCTGTTGATTAGGATTAGTAATTCCTCACCCTTTAAAGTCCTTGTCACTTATGAAGTTAAAGCTTATGCGTGCTGGGAATATGTCCACTGCAGAAGAGCTAAGTCTCACACACTTAGTCACATCCAGATAATTTTCTAAAACTTTGAACCTTGCTATGGTGTATAAACCTTATAAAATAAGCCTATAAACCTTGTAAGACATGCTGTTTACGTTTTTGCAGTTCTTTCGTATTTCATCCTCTTCTAGTGGCTGGTACACAGAGAAAAATGTCTTTCTATAGCTAGTCATTTTAGTTAATCCTTTATCTCAAGAAAGCGGTAAGTAGTTTCTTTTTGCAGTTGTCTCAGTATCAGTTATAGAGGTTTGCTGTATTCAGAATTTTGTTTTTACTTTAAAACCTATGGGATAGCAATAGTCTCAAGATACACAACAAAAATGACATGTTGGCATTTTGGAATACTTTTCCTGCACTGTTTCAATAATGGATAAAACAGTTTTAAAAAACAGGTGCTTCTGTTTGAGATAGAAGAAAGAATCAAATATTCCAGGGCAATCCAGATGTGTGCATTATTTTCTGCAAAGATTTTTTTTTTTTTGACAGGAACTGCTGCTGAATACAAAAAAAAACAGAAATAATCTATAGTCATTGGAGCATACTGAGAACCTTTATTTTATGTAAAGAGTGTCTTTATTTTGTATAAGTGTTACAAAACTTTGGAAGTGATGATTTTTAGAAATAGTAGCACCTAAGTCACACTAAGAGTAATTGCTATACCTTTGTGTGTGATGAGAATTTAGAACAGATTTTTTTCTTCTTGCTCTATGGAGAAAAAAGGCAAGTCTGAAAAGGCGCTGATGTATGGCTCTGACTTCAGTGAAGTGTTACTTTACCTCTTTTGTGGTAGTGATTGTTTCATACACTTTCTAGTACTTTCTATGCATCTGAAAAAAATAATGCAACGGTGGATTTTTTCAGTACAGAACAATGTGGTAGCAGAGTGATTTTGTTGCTAGAAGTATGTATATTCATGTGCCCATAGCAGATATTTTCACATCTAAATTAGGTGAAAAATGCAGGCATGGCAGTACGTACGTGTCTTTGACACTGGAAATCCAGTCTGTCATGTCGTTTGATATGTGTATTTCATCACTTTTTGTAAGCGATCGGTTTTACATTTTTAGATTTACTCAGGCTTTGAAAGCAGGTCTGATATTAGCTGCTAAGTTGAAAGAGAACAAGAGAAGCATCAGGAAAGAAAGAGCAAAAAGAGAAAAGGGATGAAAACAGGAGAGGAAGAGAAATGACCATGGTATAGTCAGCACTGGTTTTCAGCTTCTCTTTTCAGTGCAGAAGCTCTTTTGAGAAAAAGAGTTTTGTAAAGAACAATATTGTAAAAAGAATTTCAGCTTTTTACTCAAAGTGTTCTATTAAGAAAATGAATTTAAAAAATATAATTTTCAAATAATTCATATTAGCACTGTCCTTTAAATGTACTTATGCTCAAAAAAAGCTCTATATACAAAGATTTAATACTCAGTATATCTGCTTTTTAGACACCTATCTGAGCAGGATTTCCTTTTTGAGAAACCCTAAAAGCTATACTTATTTTTTGACCTATTTGCTTATGTGTATAGTCAACAATTTGTGAGTGTGAGCCAGATTCTGTTCAGCCCTATCCTGAGTGCTCTCATGTAGCAGAAAAATCCCAATGGTTTTTGAAAACAACAGATATTTCCTGAAAGGGCCAATATATTCAACTCTGCAGTGGTTTCCTCTACTCTGTGAACGAAAGCATACGTGTTGGAAGTCCATCAAGAGGTACCAAAAGCAAACATATCCTGATGGATTAGGTGATTGCTGAAGGAGGCTGCAGGAGTGGTTTGGGGGAAAACCTTATCCTTGTCCTAGGAAAACCCTAGGCATCACCTCATAGCCACCACTAGGGACAGGATTCTACTGTGGGATCCTTGGTCCCAATCACTGTGACCACATTTAGGCATTTACGGACATTCATTCCGGGCTTTGGAGTAGGTTTTTCTGCCCAGTCAGACTGTATCTAGTAGCTTTAAAGCATCTTGGATTTGGCTGGTGGAGACTTTTTGCTGTGGCTGAAGTTTTCTGTGGATGGTGGAGACTGTCCAACAGCTACAGGTCTGCCTGCTGCTCCAATAGCCCAGTGGAGAGGTACCACCTGAGCAAGGTTGCCTTTGGCTGTCTTTCTTTGTTATGCGCTTGTGCTTTCCACTGGTGTGTCTGGCAAGGCATTCCCGACCACACAAGGTGACACTGGACCAGGTGGAGAACCAAAGTCACGGAGGTCAGTTTGTCCATTTGCTCCACCCTGGCTGCTCTGCCGAAGCTGGAGGTGTCACTGTGTGGGTATGTGATTGAAGCTGCTGGGAGTGTGACATGGCAATATGCGAGATGGGGCACGAAGAAGCAGATATGGCCATTTATTAGTAAAAATGCGTACCAGACCTGTTAAGGAAGCCTGTGCAGATAGGCATGGACCCGTCTTGCTCTCCTTTCCAGGTCTGTTGTGAAGACTGCAGTCATCATTCGTTTCTGTGACTCCAACAGCGTTAAGGGTGTTCCTTGACATGAAAAATAATTGTGTATTTGATTTCCTGTTGTGTTTTTCTCACAGGTGTCATAAGCTGACTGTAAATTTTTTCTAGACAAATGGGTCATTAGCTAAGGTCTATCTGTAAGATGAGCATGCTCACTATGTGAGATCACTAAGCTCTTCCTCGTCCTCGGAAGAGTCGATAGGTGTGTTAAATCACGACGAAGGGTGTTCCCCCTTTTCCAACGGGCTCTGTGAGAAGGAGCTGCTCTAATAGTGCTAAGCTGTGTGAGAACTGTGAACTTGGTCAGGAAGGATCATTTGTCCCCTGTTGCCAGGAGAGCCTTGTTTCCCTTGTGAACAATAACTGCACAGGTCTGTGAGGAGTGTTATGTGCAGAAGCGTTAAT